CTGTGTGCAAGCAGCTGGACTGTCTGCAGGAGGCATAGGAGCGGATGTATCCGTTTGGGACAACGGAACCGCAACAACCCGTGGAGGAGGCACAGAGAGAATTGGGGTAGACAAAGAAGCAGGCCGCTGATCCCTGGCCAAGTGGCGATGTTGTGCATGGCTTGGCTCCCTATCCTGCGCAGGGGCCCACAACTGCAAGGGGGGGACTGGGTGTCCACCAAGGACACTGCGCAACGAGTAGGCTTAGAGAGAGAGAGAGAGAGAGAGAGAGAGAGAGCCTCTAGATAGTCTTAGGAGTAGGTAATGGAAGGCAAAAGAAACAGAAGTTGAGAGAAGAGTGTAGAAAGAACAGAAAAAGAGAGAGAGAGAGAGAGAGAGAGAGAGGACAACTATTGTCAACAGCAGTAGTGAGCCCAAGGAAGATGGCATCTGAGAGCGGCTGCCCACGGCGAGGGATATCGAAGCATACAGGGAGGAAAAGGCAACAAGACAAGAAGAGAGAAAAAAAATGCCTGCTCGCTCTGCACCTGTGGAAGGGTGAGGCGGTGGAGACGAAGGGCAAGTCGCTGCAGGCAGGCATGAAGATATTGGTTTAGAGGTCAAACATGAACACAAAAGTTTTGAGGCTTTGGAATTCTCGATGCTGCACGTGAGAGCAAGAGTGTTTGCCTCGGAGGGGTTCGTCCGACTGCTTGACATGAAACAAGCAGACACTCAAGCTGAGATGGCCCGTTCCCACACCCATATGCCGGACACACAGAAACGACGCTAAGCAGATCAGTGTGTTCTTTTCCAAAAGGAACACGATGCTTAACAGGATGGATCTTACAACACGGAACGCAGAACCAACAGACCGGACTCACTTACACGCCACAGGAAGTCCTTTTTTTCCCCCTTTTTTCTGTGTTCTAGCTTATTCCCCTTCATTATTCCCAGGGTTCCTTAACGGAGTTGCAAAGACGAGGAGACAAGTGAACACTCACTGACAGCAGTGCCTGTGTCCAGCCACTGGCTCGGAGCAAGCGACGGGGCAGGTAGTCCACGACCATTCGTGTAGGAGTCAGATTTCAAGCTGTGCGATCCTCCTCGTCCCATCTCCAAGCCATGGCCAGCACCTCGTGAAGCGTACACTGGGTTCCTGCCCCTACCCATTCCGGCCTCGGTCAGGGTATTATTGCACTCCAACTGCCACTGGGCTTGCTGAGCAGCGTGCTTTCTGACAACCGCAGCAAAGTCAGGGAGCCCTCGCACGTCTATACCCGGTCCTCCCCGTCCGATACCCCTCAACTCCGCATCATCCAGCCTAGAGCCCCTGCCCATCCCAGGAACATCCATTCCACCATTCTGCAACTGGCCTTTGATTCTCTCCACAGCAGACAGAGCTGGAAAATCTGTTAAGGTCAACGGGGGCGGCTGAGGGTGCAAGTGGCTTGATGCCGAGACCTCCTCCTGCAGCTGTTCAACCACAACACCGAGCATCGAGACAATAGTCAATAGACTCATAAGAGTCGTAGCTTATCTTCTATCTTGCCAACTGAAAGTCCACGTTTGGATCCGATCGGCGCATTAGCCGTGGTATAACGCTGGAACTGCTCCATGAAAGGTAGGCCTTTCTCGATTTACAAAGTGCTGTCGACTTTCGAGCAGCTCCTGATATTCACTTGAGGACCATACATCACCAAATAGAGAGCGGAATTGTCAGCTCCCTGGTCTCAGAGCCGCATGTCATCCCCGGACCTTTTCGACGTTTTCGTCTTTCGACACAAAGGAAAACACTGAGCACCATAAAAATGTAGGACCTTCTCTTTTTTTTTTTTTTTTTTTTAATAACCACGAGTACCTTTGAAGGTTGGGAAAATAGGGAGGCATCGGGTGGGCCTCCGATCTTTTAGGAGGCAGAAACGAAACGACGGCCGTGCATGAGATTTATCAATGGCGGCCGTCGTCGGGCCCAGCCCCTGACTTTTTAGGAGTTTTTTCCCAACACTGGTGGAGGTAATACGTGGTTTAAGGGGGGGAGAAACACAATTGTACTGAAGCCTCTTGACAAAGAAAGCCCGATATCTCGCCTCCTCTTATTGCTACAACAACAGATTAGCTGGTCTCATATGAAGTAACCACCAACACTAATAACCTACTTCACTCTACATAAAATCCTACTCTGTGTGTGTCTCCTCTCTCTCTCTCTCTCTCTCTCTCTCTCTCTCTCTGACACACACACACACACACACACACACACACACACACACACACACACACACACACACACGCACATCCCCACCTTCCTGTCGCTCAACAGCGCTGCAGAGTCTGGCCACTACATGTGTGCTAGTTTTCGAGGAGCTCCTGATTTTCACTTGCAGACCATACTCGAGCAAATCCTCATTTTTAAATTTTTTTTTTTAAACAAATACTGAGTGGACTTGTCAGCTGTCCGGTCCCCAAGCTGGACATCAACCCCGAACCTTTTCGTCTTTCGACACAACAGACATCACTCAGCACTGCATGTCAGCTCCCTGGTCCCAGCTCCATTGAACGGGCGCTGGTGCCATTTCGTGGCCCCGGTCCTGGGGCTGCATGCTTGATTCCTTCATTGACATTCTCCAAGAGTTGGTTTACCCCACAAGCGAAGCACACACATTGACTCTTTTTTTTTTTTTTTTTTTTTTTTTTGGTAAACAAACAAACACTTTTTCCCAAACAAACAAACACATGCTCTGTTATGCAAACACACTAGCACCTGTTCTTTTTTCCAAACAACAAACAAACAAGCACATGTTCGTTTCTGTTCCCCTTTTCGTTTGTCCATTCCAAAGTTGTCGACGCCTGCAAGATCCTTTCGAGCTTGGCAAAGCGTGTGCTACTTCCCTTACCTCAAGCTGGTTCAGCAAGTCTGTTGTCAGGACCAGATCGCCTCCATTAGCATAGTAGATATCCGCGAGACTTTCAGCTGAGAAGCCTGGAAACAGCGCTGCAAGTGCCCTAACGGCATCCCCATCGACGTCCTCCTCTTCGGGAAATGATGCTTCTTCTAGTAGTGAGCTTGTGATATCCAAATGCTGACTGGCAAGCCATTGGCTCTGCGGTCTCTCCCTTGCACCCGATGGTTGCACCAACTGAGTCTGCGATGCGACCTGGGGTGGCTCTGGTAGGAACTTGCCACTGAACGTTCCTGCTGCTGCTCCAAATGATGAACCGACACCAGCACCCACCGAGCTCAAGGCTGTCTGCGCACATGCAGCAGTGCCTGTTGTCTTCTCTCGAAGCGAAGATGCATGTGCGTATCGGAGAGATGTGACACTGGGAGCATAGCTCTGGCTGAGTCCAGAGTGCAGCCGCTGATCCGCACCATTGAAGCCAAAACCATTCACCGACTGATGCATGTGTGCCGCCGGCGCTGAGATGGATGGAGTTGAACTCGCCGCCACGAGAACCTGCGGTGTCGAGGTTGTCGAGGTCATACCCCACCCTCCTTCAATACCAGCACTCGAGCTCTGAACAGCTGACGTAAGAGGGGCAACGGAGTGATCGTCCTGAAGAGAGATGGGATCGGTATAGTCAAAGATGTCATCTGGAGGTAACAAGTCAACCGACGACAATTCGTCTTGTAGCGGAAGCAGATCATCTGGGAGTTGATCGTGCCAGAACTCACTTTCATCAACAGAATTTGAATTTGACTGCTGAGAGCCCAAGAATGACAAACTCTCTGTGTTCGGTGCACCCGGGACAAAACTGCCAGAAGAGTGAAACGCCATAACGAGAGCACTCTGAGATTTTGCATCAACATGAACTCCATTACTGGTCTTCAATGTCTGAGGAACGAACTCTGTCGCATTCGGATTTAGTGAGCTGAATGTTCCCTGCCTGCCTGCTAAGCCAGAGCTTGAGCTTCCGACAGCCAACTTCCCATCTTGACTTCGGTGCCGATGCACCGTGTTTTGTGGTTGCTGCTGCGGCGGTGATGGTGACGACACCTGCTGTTCTGCCGTGGCGGTGTCTGATGAAGAAGACGAATGCCCTGAGTCTGCCAGCGAACCCGATAGCACGACGGACGATGAAGCCGGTGACAAGGATGGAGACAACGTGGTGGACGACAGTGATGACGGGGACGAGGACGGCACTCCCCCTGCTGCAGATGTTGACTGGTTATGACCTTCGTCGTTGCCCAGTCCGTTGACTACATGTCCAGCTGATCCTTCTCGCATTCCATTATCGGTACCAGCGATGTAACTTACATTTGATTGAATTGCACCGGCTCCCCCTTTTGCGCCGTCGCTCCCCGCTTTCTCATTCCACCTTCGAGAGAGAGGCACCCTCATATCGCTCCGCTCCCCTGCATAAAAAAGGTTGGTTCCCACCTGCTCCCACTCCTCTGATGCAACCCTTGTGCCAATCAGCGGCGACTGAGAACGGGGCGACAAACTGGGCAGTCTGGAAATGTCCCCCGATGCAGACGTACGCCCACTTAGGCCAGTACTTGGGCCTGGAGAAGACCCCAACGCTGCAAAAGCATGGCCACGCCATACGGTTTCCCATCAGGACCGACCAAGCCCCTCACAAGAGGATCACAGTCGAAAGACAAACTAGATCAAAACGATATGCGTGTGCCGTCCTTCCCCACATCCGCTAAAATAGAACGATTCACAGAAGATCAGTATGGCACATTATTAAAACTTTAAAGCAATAGTACCTTTGTCGGTTCGGAAAATAGGGGGCCTCCAACCTTTCAGGAAGCCAAAACAAAACGACCGCCGCCGATCAGATTTAACAGGCAGCCGTTGTCGGGGCCGGTCTCCTAAAAGTTTGGGACTAGGCTAAAACTTGTCGAAACCGGACGGCAAAGGTACTAGTGGTTTAAGAAAAAAGGTATACAATACTATACATGCTTTCCAGTTGGCTTTCCACCACAGGACAGAACAACAGCCTCCTTTCTCTACGAAACAAACTCGCCCCTCTTACAACAAGCTTTGAACCATGCAGCAATTTACACCGCCACCCGTTTTTGGAAAGTAATGAAATGAATTTAAGCATTTCCGCAACCCCCTGAACGCATTTGGAAAATGAATGAACTTAAGTGGACGCTGACAGGCCCGCACCGGTGCATTCCGCAAAATATCTGCGGAAGGGACTGGTCGTTTAAATCACCAGTATGTCGTATGTCACCCAGCTAGTAGTCCCGACGCAGCGGTCTACCTGCGGCGTTGACAGGGGGCAACAGGGAAAGAACGTGCACCCACTCCAATTCGCGCGGCAGCGATCCAGGTCAGGAAATGAGGCTCGTGCTGGCGGGTTAGACCACCAGTACATGGCCCTAACCAACTTGAGAATCATGACTGAGACACTCGGAAAAAATCGGAGGTTCGCGGCAACCGGACCAAAATGAAGTTGTGTATAGCCAGCACAGGAGGCATACACAACTGTGCCTTTTTTTCTGGAGTTGTGTATAGCCAGCACGACAACACACACACACACACATACATGGCACACAAACTCGTGCATGCATGCATACGAGAAACAACACCTACCATCTTCACTCGAATAGAATGCCCAAAGATTATTGCTGTGACTAGAAGGACAGTTGGCCCGGATACGGATATAATGACCAGGCATTCTATTGAAGGGTAGACGATAGTATGTGATTGTAACCTAGGCTGGTCCCCAGGTGGCCCGGCTGGGGGAAGGTCGCCCGGGTAACCTCCCGGGCGGCCCGGGCCGGGCAGTGGCCCGGCAGGGTCCCAGGCAGCCCCAGCGCATAACATTAAAAAAAATAAAAAATCAAAAAAATGATAAAAATGATAAAAATCTGGAAAAAAAAAGCATGTTGTATAACATTGCAGTACAAACAACTTTTGGCTGAGGGTCCATTCGAAATTCCTTATTAATTTTAAAATAACAATAAAAGAGGAGAATTGAGGAGCAATGAGGTAAGATATACCCTTTTAAACCCCTCTAGTCACTGTTTAGAGTAACCTTATACCCCCCAAACACTTCTGGATGACCCACCACCGAAATGGAAGGTAAGGCCGGATTCTGAATGCTCAGGCCGAGCGCAGTCCTGGCCTGAAGTCAGTTTCTTTTTTTTGGAGATCCTTCCCTCGTTTTTGACCCGCCTGGTTTTGCCGGGCGATAGCCCCCCCGGCCCAGCTGGCCTGGGCATGCCTGGCTGGGCGATGGCCCAGCCTAGATCGTAACTGCATTCATAATGAGCAAGAAACAGAGCAAGGATTGTAAGAACAGCAGAGCTCTTCCCTCCAGATGATGTGGGCTTCTCAGCCTGCACAACAATGCAGTTGCCATTGGCAAAAAAAAGAAGAAAAAAAAAAGAGTTAAAAAAAATATAATAACACAATGCCTTGCAGAGGGTCCCTCGGGAGATCCATTAAAATTGGAACGATACAGAAGTTTAGCATGGCCCCCGCGCAAAGGACCAGCATAAATCGAGAAATGGTCCCAAAAAAATAATAATAAAAAATGCCTTGCAGCCTTTGCAGGGGCATTCAATGGGACCGTCAAGCATTTACAGATTTGAAGAGTCTGATATACGATCAGCGCTGTGTACAGTATACCATGGCAGATGCCACCCATGGAAATGACGAGTACACAGCTCAGCCACACAAAGCTTATCACAGCCATGTACCTGCAAACGCCGATATAGACTTGGTGGCTGCATCAAAGGAACTCGCAAAAAGCGGAGTGTAAGGGGATGACGCCCTTGCACTAGCCGGCGCTGATGAAAAACACCTGCAGCATAAATTCAGCATCAAAGCAAAGTGATAAGCAGTTAGTCAACCCCTTTTTTTCCTAAATGGGCCCTTCGGCCTGGATGGTAGACAAATGCAGCTGTTGATGCACAGATCATGAGTTCAATCCACAATAGATAACATGTTACTTAACCCCTACTTAACCCCTTTTTTCTAAACCAGCCCTTCTGGCCGGATGGCAGACAAATGCAGCTGTCGATGCACAATACCATTAGGCACTACCCCCCCCCCCGCACCCCCCCCAACAAGACAAATTGTCCTGAACTCAATCATCCCCTCTGTGAGTTTGACGCGCTCGACAATAACCCCCTTTTTCTAAACCATCCGTTCTGGCTGAATGGTAGACAAATGCAGCTATTGATGCATAGATCATGAGTTCAATCCACAATACCGTTAGGCACTAACCACCCCACCCCCGACAAATTGTCCTGAACTCGCCTCTGTGCGTTTGATGGGCTCGACGGCATACTGTCATCAGCCATCCACCTCGTATCCGGGGCCGTCTTTCAGCACGGGTCATCCATGGTCCACCAGTGTGGTCCCCAACCATGGTCCAGAGTTGTGGGCCATAGTCTATCGATGGCGTTAAGCGGTCATGAATCCAGACTAGTTGCAATACAACGAAGCGCAGATTACAAAGAATTTGAAAAAAAAAAAAACAAAAAAAAAACAGAAGCGCAGATTACTACAGTGCTATGCAGCTGTTGATGCACAATACCATTAGGCACTAACCCCCCCCGCGCCCCCCCCAACAAGACAACTTGTCCTGAACTCAATCATCCCCTGTGTGAGTTTGACGCTCGCTGCCCTGGAGTAAACCGGGTGGGAATCTCAACATTCTCAACATTGATGCTCTCACCGACCTCTTTTTTTCTCCCACGGAACATGCACACACACACACGAGCACACAGACACGCACACACACACACACACACACACACACACACACCTTTTCACACAAACACAAAGACACTGACACATACATGCACACGACACGCAAACATGCTGAGGAAGGAGGGGAGATGGGGGCAGGGAGACACAGGGATCTTTTGTTTGTTTGTTTTTATGTTTGTTTGTTTGTTTTTACTGAGGGACTTCAATGGGTACGGCTCCATTTCTTTTTTCTTCTTTTTTCTTTCTTAATGTGGTGGCATTGTGGTCCCATAGACCTTGGATCATATATTAAACTGATCAGAACAGAATCAACAGCTACCACACTTTATCTTTTTGCACGAGCAGAGATTTGTGATTTCTGAAAACTCTCATCACCTCACAGCTTTACGACTTACTCACCAATCAGAAAACTGTGCCTCCAGTGCAGCGGTCGCTCTTATTTCTTCCGCCGACCCTGCACATATGACGTAAGCCCCCGTCAACCGAAAAACAAAGGAAACTGTGAACGGAAGTGTATGTACTACTCACACGAACAGAAAATTCGGAAATGTATTACTCACACATGTTTCGCTGGAGTTCACTACATCACCGTGAACGATGCCGGCAAGCAAACCGAAAAGTGAGGACCAAAAAAAAAAAAAAAAAAAAAGTGAGGACCAGACAGCGACTTGAAAGAAGTTTAAAAACGCCACACAACTTTATGATTAATGGCAGTGCCCATCTTTGCCTGAAGAAAAGAACAAAAATTGAGCTCCACAAGTGAAAGGCCTTCCACGATTCAGACCCCAAATTCGAGTTTCAGGATCAAGGTCTTAGGCCAAGACGGTCAGTTTCAGAGAAGTCACAGTCGGGTGGGTACCTTAGGAAGTTCGGAGTAAAGTCCAACAGGCACCCGGTGAAAAGTCACATCCCAGGGGCAAAGGTTGCCGTCTTTAAACAAAAGTCACGACGTCTCATAATGAAAAGTCGTATTGAAAAGTCACATCCCACGGGCAAAGGAAACTTCCCCAGGCAAAAGTCATGTCCCACAGGTTTTGACTGTGAGTCACAACCCACAGTCAAAAAAAGTTATGGGTTCCGAAGGTAAAAAGTTGTGACTCACAGGCCCAAGCAGCAGCACACCAATGACAATTCGGGAAAGGTACCAGGGCCTGACATTCTGAAGCAAACAGGCCGCGGGGATGCGGTACCAGAACCAAGTCAAGCCCCGAGAAGCAGAGGCAGGGACGAGTTGAAGCTCCGTCCAAGACAATATAAGGACAGTCCAGCCTCCTCATTGGGAGAGATTGCTCATTCGCATGGAGTGTGGAAGTGCTGGTGCGCTTGTGCGCTATTGGGAGGAGCGAAGCACTGAGCCAGGCAGCTGCGCTGGTAGAGGGAGAGAGAGAGGGAGCAGCCATAGCTGCCCCAGCGCTGGCAGAGGGAAGGTAGACTTAGCTGCGCCAGTGCCTAGTGGGTAGTAGTAGACCTCAGAGGGGTTAGTAGAGTTAGCAGTGGGTGTATTCAGAGTTGGTCCTTGAGTCGTAGAGAGTGTGGGTGCATGCAGGTCGGGAGAGAAGACACATTGAGGACATAGGCAGAGACAAGACCAGAAGAGAGGAAAGAAGGGAGCGAAGCAGTGAGAGTGGTCACTTGCCTGTGTGATGATGATACTGGATACTGGTTACTTGGCGTTGCGCTGATGAGGGTTTGTGACTGGAAATCTTAATTGCTCAAGTCAAGCGCAACGTGGTGACTGGAACTATATATTTTTTTTTGAAACGCCCCCACCAGTTTTTTTTTTTTTTTTTGAAACGCCCCCACCAGTTGCTCCCCACCAATAGATGGAGCCTCTCCCCAGGTGCTAGTGGTGTCTGCTCTTATCCGCACCACTAACACTGGTGGGGGCGTTTCTCCAAAAAAAAAAAAAAAAAAAAAGATGGAATCTCTTAAGCTGCGCTTACCTGGTCTTCGACTCTCTAGCCTCCAGTGTGGATTTTGTGTAATCTCATTTGTGCATGTATGTGCGTGTGCACTCATCGGTGACGAGCTGGGAGGCTCATTGCACAAGGAACAAGCGAGGATAAATAATAATAATAATAATATAATATTATAATGATTATAAAAAAAAGCGTGATGATACGCTTCACCACAGAGCCCATCTTTGGCAGATCCAGACAGTCTGGACTGAGATCAGGACGTTCGGATCGTAGTCATGATCATTACAGCACTCTCCAGCGTGGCAATTGCCTTTTCAATACAAGGCTAGGGGTGTCCAGACGACCAAAAAGACGCCAAACAAGCAAAAACAAAACTTTTAAAAAAGACCATAAAGGGTCATTGCAGTACAACGGATTCACATGACCCGGGCGGCCCGGCTGAGCCTACAGGCCCTAAGCATATGAACCTAGGCTACCAGAGTGGCCCGGGTCCACTTGCCCGGGCGGGCAAAAAGGAAATAAAAAAATAAAAAATAAAAATTATATTTTTATTTAAATTTTTATTTTAAATTTGGTTAAGAATTTCGATGTGACTCTGAGGCAAAAGTGGTTCAGTTTATTTTTCTGCATAACATAGTTTTCTTTCGGAGTTTTTGGATTTTTTTTTTGTTTGTTTTTTTTTCGGCTTGGACCTTCCCTGCTCCTTGCACGGCCAGGCCGCCCGGAAAATAGGGTGACCCGGGCGGCCCGGCTGGTAGCCTAGGTATGAACCGAATAAAACAACCCCCCAGGCCTGAAACGTCACTACTCTCACCACACTACTGTGATTATTTTCATGAGCCAAACCATTTTCGCACAAATATTTTTTTTAATGAGCCAAAGCCAAACCTCAGCTACCAGCCGGGCGGGCCGCCCGTGTCACCTTGTTTGCCCACGCGGCCCGGCCGTGCAAGGACCAAAGAAGGCCCCCAGCAAAAAAAAAAAAAAAAAAAAAAAAAAAATCTGACAAAAAAAAGAAGTCATGCAGAAAAATAAGCTGAACAACTTTTGCCTCAGGGTCAGCATCGAAACTCTTTACCAATTGTTTTTTTTTGCGGGGGCCCCCATCCGGGCGAGTGGACCCGAGCCACTCTCGTAGCCTAGGGCCAAACCATTTTCCTAGTTCAGTTTTAATTTAAAATGTTTTTCCCTGATGCGGGGTAAGCTAAACAACATGCCTGATTTTTTCCGGACCTTTTCATTGCCGGAAATTGGACTAAAAGATCGCCGAAGTCAAGGTCATCTCAAACACAACCTCCTGGTAGGCCGAGACTTTCAGAGAATCGTGTCATGTCCACTCAAATGGCCCAATTCAGGCTGCACTGGCGTTTCCAAGACCCTAAAGGGCCTAAAGACCAAAAGCCTGGCAAATGCCTATTTCCTTTTTTTTTTTTTTTTTTTAATTTCAGATCGTAGTAGAGGCCGGATGCTAGGCCTCCGAGGTTCCTGTCGTTGTACTCGACCAGTGGGCAGATCAGATGGCTTGTGACAGCCTCCTCCCGGACAGTCTCCTCCGGGGGGCATATCATTCGTGAACTTTTTTGTTGTCCTAATCAAATCGCAAGTCGGGCCCTACAGCGGTGCGACCCAGACCTTGTCTCTCTAGACCTAGACGTACACCAACCCACGCCTTCTGAGACAAGTCCCCCCGGGCAAATCCCGGTTTCATACAAGCAGCAGAGAAGCAGAACAAAGGACCGTTCGCATCATGCCTGAAAAAACAGCGGCTATCAGGAGGGAGCACATGGCAGGGAGCAGTGTGCGTGCGCTTTCGCTATCATTCACATATCTCGCGCCACTCACAGAAGTGACTGATCATCATTCACACGGTGTCCATCCAGGTGGCAGCAGCCAAGCCTCTGCCGGCTTACTTACAGGGCGGAGCTTGAAATTTCTTTTCTTTTCTTTTCTTTTCTTTTCTTTTTTCTTTTTTTGTTTCGGAGCTTAAAGTTTCATAGCATGACTAAAAAAATATTTAAAAATCCTCATTTCAAGATACGTATGGACCGCCGACGGTCGGGATCGGAGATCGGCCCTATGGAGTTCTGTGGATTAGTACTAGCTTTGTATCCAAAACCAGGGTTGCATACAGTATTGCAGTCGACCCGTAGGGCCGACCCCGACCGCCGACAGTATTGCAGTCGGCCTGTAGGGCCGACCGGTTGGCGGTCTGCCGACCAGTTAGAAAACAACCATCTACTGATTTCAAAACTGAGTTGGGTGATGTACTGCACTTGCTGAGTACAGCCCAAATCCGCTGAGAAACTTTTGGGGATGGGAGGGGGGGGGGGGAGGGGGCCTCCTTAGCTTTATATCCAACACCTACGATCTCTGAAAAACAGAAATATTTGGTTTCCATAAGCTTCACTTTATTTATTTTGATGATCGACAACCGTTGGATCGTTCCAGAATGCTACGGGATCGAGGCCCCATTGGTGCACTATTTTCGTGCTTGCCTCTGCTGGCGAAGCATGGAGGAGGCCCCACTGGTGCGCGATATGTATGTTAAAGTCTGCCAACCCCAGGTAAGAGCCTCCTAGCATAAACATAGAACCGCCAGTGGGGTCTGCTCGCCTCTGGTACACGATTCCCCCCCCTCTAACGAGCAAAAAAAAGGGGGAGGCAGCAGCGATGCACCCTACCCTGCAAGTCGCCCTCGTCTGCTTCGGCAGCTCCATGCCTAATTTCCGAGAGCAGCGTCCAAATGCGATCCTTTAAGTCCTTGTCGTTCACCTAATCAACTCGAGCAGCGCACAGAAACAAAGCGGAACAAAATAGAAAATAAAAACGTTAAGAAAAACACAAAGTGGAAAACAAAGAACGAACAAGAGTGAGAGTTGATTGCAGAGAGAAGCACATAACCACATTCGTTTGATCCAAAAACTTTTCAGCAGAGCATTAAGAAAACCACAACAAAAGCAAAAAGTGAGACTGGGGGGCGTGTGAAGTTGGGGGCGTTTAAAAGGCGGGAAGGAGAGGGAAGGGGGGGGGGAGGGGCATAAAGATTGGCGAACATAAGACGACATGAAGACCACAATAAGTGTATAAAACGACTCAGGCCCGCCAGGGGACCCGCAAAGGAATAGTACTACCGTCTTCACCCGAAAATAACGCCCGGGCGTTATATTCAACTTACCCTAAAAAGATCAGATTTTTGTTTTTACTCTCTTTTCCTCAAATAGAACGCCCCTTCGAATATATCACCCCTTCGAATATAACGCCCCTTCACATATAACGCCCGGGCGTTATATTCGAATAAAAGTTATAGAACGCCCGGGCGTTATATTTGAATGTCTCATGGGCAGAGTGCCTTGTAGAGGTAGTATAGATGGGTTTGAAACGGCGGGGAGGGGGTATACATGGGTTTTAAAGGGGGTTAAAAGGGGGTTTGACTTCCAAGGGGCATAATTCGGTTTGATTTTATGTTTTTAGTTTTTATTTCCAAGTTTATTTAGCGACCCTCAGCCAAAAGATGGTCGCATTCCAATTCGGCACAACATATTTTTTTAAAAGAAGTTTCTAATTATTTTTTCCCCGGAAATTTGGCCCCCCACCGAAGTTGCCCGGCGGGCGGCGGGCGTTATATTCGTATACAAGGCCCGGGCGTTATTTTCGGGTGAAGACGGTAGTTGAAAATGGCACGGGTTTTCGCATTGCAAAATGTGGGGGCTGGGGGGGGTCGGGGGGTAGGGGGGTTAAAGACGGTAGAATACAGGGGGAAAGGCTCAAAACCACAACTTTCACCGACTAGCAAATACCCGGCATTGTAAGCTGGCCTGAGAAGACGGCAGAGAAACACCATAGCGCACAGCAGCAAGGCACACAAGGGGCCTTAGGGGGGGGTGTACTTTATGCACTTCCCCTCCCCCCAAAAAAAACCTCTATGGGTGGCCTAAAGAAGACCTTCCCAAAGCCTAGCGAACTCAAGATGTTGAAAATGGAACGGAACATGATGATAGGCAAGTAAACGATAACTTCGATAAGTCGAGCAGCAAAGCAAACAAGAGAAACAAAAAGGAAACAAGATGATGGGGAGGGCAGGGGGGTAAACAAATGGAGGGGAGAGGGCACAGGAAATCCAGATAAACTTGATAGAGAGAAATAAAGCCATAGCAGGAAAAGTCGAAAAAGCATGAAAGCACACATCACGTTCCATATAAGTAAAAAAGCTGCAAACATAACTTAAATAATCCACAGTTCATTTTCCAGAGGTTGCAGCAACACCTTCGAGAGAGCACGCGCGCGCGAGAGCGAGTGAGCGAGCGAGAGAGAGAGAGAGAGAGAGAGAGAGAGAGAGAGAGAGAGGGAGAGAGCATGAGGGAGAAGAGCAGGGGGCAGGGAGGAGGGGAGTGAGAGAGTGAATGTGTGAGAGAGAGAGAGAGAGGGGGGAGAGAGAGGGAGAGAGAGAGGGAGGGGGGGGGGGCACACACAGAGAGAGAGAGAGAGAGAGAGAGAGAGAGAGAGAGAGAGAGAGAGAGCAACGCACCGATGGCAGTAATGAGCCCACAATCTCACAGATTGACTTGACTCGAAAATTGTTGTTGGATGGAGGGGCAACAGCTTCTTCATATAACAACCTGTGCAAGGGTACAGAACATAGCGATCGCCAATTCATTCAGAAAGACAAGGTACGACGAGACTAAGGATATATCCCTCCTCTGACATCTCAACCCACCAACTCCTAATATTGAGAGGGAGGCTACAAGTGACAGGAAGAAGCCCACATACACACCCCATTAGATGGCAATCATGCAACCCTATTCCACTCCACAAATTGACAAGACAGGAGTTCGATCAATTGCAGTTAACTAATCGCAGCCATCGTCTCTCTCTCTCTCTCTCTCTCTCTCTCTCTAGCAACTGGCTATAGCAACTGAGCTATAGCACCTGGCTATAGCAACTGAGCCATGGCAACAGGCCATAGCAACTGGCTATAGCAACTGAGCTATAGCACCTGGCTATAGCAACTGAGCCATGGCAACAGGCCATAGCAACTGGCTATACTAGTTATACAGTATGGTTATACAACAGTGTAACTGGCTGGTTGGCATGACCAGGTACACACTGCAGCAAAACTGGCCGTAGCAGCTGCCTATACATTACAATGTATAGTCTGTGGCAAAAAAGGGATATGGTTGCTATACGCCACCGCTGTAGGATATAGCCAATGGCTATACTCTAGTGCTGTTGGTATGAAAGGAATAGGGTTGCTTGCAATATAGTACAACGCCATCGGGTATAGCCAGTTGCTGTACTCACAATGCAGTCTGACCATTTTAGTACGCCAATGGAGAAACAACAGGGGAAAAAAATAAAAATAAAAACTTGGAAATCGAAAATGCTTTAAATGCACATATAAAATTTTCAGAATTCACAACAAAAACTTCGACAAATCTTGAGGGGAAATTTTTAAAGCAGCACCGACACACACAAAAAAAGCACCACCTCCAATAACAAAAGGAGTCAAAAGAAGCGTCAAAAAAAGAAAAGAAGCGTCAAAAAAAGAAAAGAAGCACCAACAACAAATATAAAAGAAGCACCAACCAAAAGAAAAAGCAGCACCAATGGACAAAAGTCAGCACCAGAGACAGAAAAATAATCGCCAAAAAAAAAAAAAAAAAAAAAAAAACAGTGCAAGATTGTTCAGTGCTACATTTCCCTCCTTCAGCTATAGCCCAACGACTGCCAGCGAGACCATTACCGTTGACAACAACAAAAAAGAAGGGAACCTGGGAAATATCACGACTCTCGGGTGGTCCGGCCGATGCAGTATACCATTGACGACAACAAAAAAGAAGGGAACCTGGGAAATATCACGACTCGCGGGTCGTCTGGCCGATGCCGTCTATTAATGTCCCAACGTTATTAGCAGTCTATTAACGTCCGAACGTTAGCAGACTTGGTCGACCGAGGTGGGTGACAATAAAAAAAAAAAAGGTGGGTATTGGTGGTAGATTGGTGGCCTGCGAACCAGGACACTCGGTTCCTGTCGGCAATCACAGTAGATTGCAATGGGTAAAGGGTGGGTAGAAGAGTGTCCGGGGGGTTCAAAAAGGGACACTGTAAGCACTCCTCTCGGTCGTAACAGGCCGGGGTCAGACCGGTACTTCTAGGTCTGTGAAAGCTGTAGTCTTGGTAGGATAGCCAAGTAGAGGAAGCCTTTAAAGAGGTAGAGTGGAAGCAAACAAGTGGCTAGAGAGGAATTAAGATGTTTAGGAGTAGGCTGTGGCCCATTTAAGGAGTTATGCTATGGAACAACACAGGTATAAGCGAAACTTGCTGAGGCTGCCAGGATAACTCCGGGTCGAATTGTGAGGATCCCCGGCCTCGATTTACATTGAATTTTGGAATGAATTGAATGTCAAAAAAAGAAAAAAAAGATTGGTGGCCTGCGGGTTAGGGGTGGAAGGAGGCAACCCCCCTGAAGATGATGGTATGGCAGCCATCGAAACGAGGCGTCCGGGACTCCAGAAACCTGTGAGTGTTAAATTCCAGGGTACACGTAGTTCTTCTGTTTCACAAATTTTGTGATTCTCCATCCACATCTACAAATGCACGTGCTCCAACAACCCAAAAAAAAAATAATAATACTAATAATAAATTAAAAAATAAAAAATAAAAAATAAAAAATAAAAATCAAACCGTTGTTGTTTCCGTGCTCAACCCAGTCAATCAGCTTCTCATTGACCACCAACTTTTAAAAATATATATATTGTTGCTTCCGTACTCAACCAAGTCAACGGTAGTACGGAAATATTTAATCAGCTTCTTACCGACCAGGAATTTTTCAGAAAAAAAAAAAAAAAAAATCATTGCTTACGTGCTCAAGCAGTCTATCAGCTTCTCGTCGACCACCAACTTTTCGTCGAAGTCCGCCTTGCAATCCCACAGAAATCGTTTCACGGGAGTCCGTGATGCGTCTGCGGCCGAAGTCGTCGTTCTCATCGACATATCCCCCCTGCGCTCTAATCGAATCGAATGAATCGAATCGAGGTTCGGAGAGAGACGATACCACTCAACGCTGCTGCCCCGTCACAAGCCAAGGCGGAAAACACTTTTTGATGACGTCAACTCAATTGCAAAGAAGCACAATGCGCTTAACACGACGATAATGATCGACGGCAGCCACACGGCTTCGGCAAGCGCCACGTCGACAGCACAAGGCAGTCCGGACACGACCCGTCCCAACTCCGACAAAAAACACCTTCAAGCCTTGTTGACGTCTCCTTGTCCACGGTCTGCAGTGATGGATCTGATGCCACATCAGCAGAAAAATCAACAATTGCATCCATCAGGAAAATAGAAAACGATAATCATATTCATTTACCAAATAAACCACTAATATAGTAATTTACTAATTTCTGAATATATTAATTTAATTTACTATATTAATATATCATCAAACAGAGCTGCCCGGAAAACCGTACGCAGAGAGGGAGAACAGGACAACAAACGAGGGGCTTAAAAAAAGGNGTAAAAAAGTTAAAAAACGCCAAAAAAAAAAAAAAAAACGCCAAATCTGATGACGAAGCCACCAGCCAGCATCAATGTGTCAAGGCAAAAAAAAAAGAGGCGGCAAAATGGGAAAAGGCTGCCGACAAAATGGCGGGAACAGCAAGCAACAGCGTGATAGGGAAAGGCGGGAAAGTGGGAAAGGGCCCTTAAAAAAAATGGCGGGAACCGCAAGCAACAACGTGACAGGAAAAGGCGGGAAAATGGGAAAGGGCCCCATAGAAAAGGCGGGAGCAGCAAGCAACAACGTGACAGGAAAAGGCGGGAAAAGGCGGGAAAAGGCGGGAAAAGTGGGGGCTTAAACACAGGAAGGGCCCCGTACAAAAAAGCGCGGGAACAGCGTATCGTAAGGAAAGGGCTTGTCGGAAAGAATGTATGTGACGCCATACTGACACTAGGAGGTTCATCAATGTATCTGACTGCACTTATGTTCAGAATTGAGTGGAAAAAGGCCCAGTGTGAGTATGCCCTGGGTATGTGTTTCGGTTTTTTTTTTTTCTTTCGTTCGTTGTTTTTTAAAGAGGGCACGCTTTGCCGACCCTTTTGATAAATAAAAAAAAAGAGAAAGAGGAGGAGCGAGGACGTAGGCAAAAGGAGGAGAAACGCAGGGAGTTTTCTTTTTTATTTAAAAAAAAAAAAGCTGCCTTCTCCTCATCGGGGGACAGCCATATATTTTTCTCTCACGATTTAAAGATATGTTCCATGACAGGAGTGGGGATTTTTTTTTTCTTTCTAAAGAGGGGTAATAAAACTAGGACAGGGCATGTTCCACTTTTTCTTCTCTCAATTTCACCTTTTTTTTTTTTTTTTTTTTTTCCACTATCTACCGACCACTTTCGTCATCAACAAAAAGAGGGCAAAAAAAATATATAAAAAATCCTACCCAGCGAAACGTGGAACCCACCTACGACGAGAGAGAGAGAGAGAACGAATCAGTCCAATATCTAAAATCCATGGCCCGTCGAACAAAAAAAAAAAAAAAAGAAACTGAGAGAGAGGGGAAGAGAGAGAGAGATATAAGGGCGTACTGGCACTGCCACTTTTCTCAATGCATCTGGCGGCAAGTGCGACTAGAGGGAAATGCATTTGACCCGCAATCACGTCCAGAGCTCAGTCTAAAGAGCACTAGTGAGAATGCCCTAACTAGAACAAAATACAGAAAAAAGAGCGGGAAATACAATGGGCCGGGAGAAAAAAAGAGCGGGAAGTGAAGATAGATACCAGCGAAACTGGAAATACAATGGGCCGGGAGAACAATACACAGAAAAAAGCGCGGGAAATAAGCGCGGGCAATTTCGACATGTACGACACGTGGCCACGCGTACTTGGCGAAATTAGCGCGGGAAGTGGAGATACCGGCGAAACGAGACGAGAAAAAAAAAAAAAAAAAAATATATATCAAATCAGGCAAACAAACTAATCGGGACAACGAACTGGAAAGTAGGCAACCACCATCCGTAATTATTATTATTTTATTATCATTTAAAAAATAAAACAGCGTAATTATTATTTTATTATCATTTAAAAAATATAACAGCGTAATTATTATTTTATTATCATTTAAAAAATAAAACTGGAAAGTAGGAGGGAAGACGGGATAAGAACTATCGATCCAAAAAAAACTGGGCCCACATAAAACTACAGTTCAATTAAAGAAAGAAAAAAGAAAAAAAAGAAAAAAACTCAACACGTTTGAGAAAAGCCGAAGAGAAAGATAGCAGAAAACGGCGGGGAAACAGGAGGCCGGAAGACGAAGGAAGGGGGAGGGGGGGGGAGGGGTGACAAAAGGGGGAAGGGAGGCAAAAAAATGCGGGGACACAAAAGGCGGGAGAGAAAATGGCGGGAGAGAGAATGGCGGGACGATGAGAGGAAAAGGAGAAAGACAACAGGGAGAGAGAGAAAAAGAGAGAGAAAAGTAAGGTGAGACACAGAGAAAGAGAGAGAACGCGTTGTTAGAGGGGGGGGGGGGTGAAGTGCCCGTGAGAGAGACGCAACGGAGACGGTGTCACGTGTGTGTGCATGAGAGAGAGAGAGAGGAATGTGTGGGGGTAGATAGGGCGAGAGGTGTGGGAGCAGTGTGTTTATGTGTGGGTGGGTGAGCGCGGGAACAAGGGAGAGTAAAAAGAGAGAGAGAGAGAGAGAGAGAGAGAGAGCAACTACGAGGATTTATAGATCGAAGATCTCAGGAGAGACTGCGGTTCTATTCGCGAATATCTTGAATGGCGGCAAGAGTAGTGACGATCACAGAGAGTCGAGATGGCCGACAGACGTTCCCCCCAATAGAACGCAGAATTATCATATCTATAAACAGCTTTACTCTGATGACTTGGTAATTACCCTCACTCGAATAGAACGACGCCAGCGTCGCCAGGTCATTATAGCCCTGCATTCGGCGCAATTTCCTGTCCAGATTCATTCAGAGATAATGACCGGGCGTTCTATTCGGGTGAAGACGGTACTACATGCCCAATGCCGCGTTCTACTCGAGAGATTCACGTGAGCACGACGACGACTGTGGACCTCGCTCCACTCCCCACCACCAAACGTGCAAAATGAGATTCACGTGAGCCATTTTTTTTTCGCCATTTCCACATGTGCTGATTAGTGGAGCCAGGTCCTATTCCCCTAAACAACAAGCTCAGGAGCAGTTATTGTGTGTGACCTGCAAATTTCAAACAGTAATATCAAGAAATTATTTCAAGAAATTTGCTGATTGTTTTATGTCTGGCACATCCAATCAGCAAATTTCTTGAAATTATTTGAAATTACTGATTGAAATTATTAATTGAAATTATTAATTGAAATTACTAATTGAAAGTATTAATTGAAAGTATTATTTGAAATGACTAATTAGTAGAGTAATAACAATTAGTCATTTCAAATGGGCTATCAGCCGGTCCGCCCGGGTCACCTTGTTTGCCCGGGCGGCGGAGCCGTGCAAGGACCAGAGAAGGTACCAGCAAAAAAAAGAGAATCCAACAAATCTGAAAATAAAAATGTTATGCAGAAAAATAAATTCAACATTTTTTGCCTCAGGGTCACATGGACATTCTTTCTTTACCAAACTTAAATTCTAAACTTAAAAAAATATATACATCGTTTTTTTCTCTTTTTTGGCCCGGCCGGGCCACTCTGGTAGCCTGGCTCATCAGTGCAGTTATCGGTATACACTACTGATTAGTGGCAACCAATTATTATTTATTAATAATTACTTATTAGTAAATAGAAAATTATTAATTTCAAAGTAATGGTTCGTGATTACTGATGTTAGTAGTAATGTTTACAAAATTATAATTTAGCGCTGACGCACACATTAATTTTTGTGTGTGACCTTCTTGTCGTTATCTCTGGTAGAGGGCCTCGCTCCACTACTCACCCCATGCACAACAGACAAAAAAAAACACGGCGAGGTATCTTTCCATGTTCTTGCGGCAGATTCATTTTCATTTTGCACGTTTAGCGAGTCTATAGTGGAGCAAGGCCCCGTACTATGAGATTCATTCCAGTCGCACACATATGAGATTCATTCCAGTCGCACACATACGTCGCATACAAAGAAAAACACGGCGACGTATCTTTCCATGTTCTTGCGGAAGATTCATTTTCATTTTGCACGTTTAGCGAGTCTATAGTGGCGGAAGATTCATTTTCATTTTGCACGTTTAGCGAGTCTATAGTGGAGCAAGCCCCCGTACTATGAGATTCATTCCAGTCGCACACATACGTCGCACATCGTCGCACATCCGATACTCCGCATTCCATGCACTCACAACATGCACTCGCGCATGCATTCCATCCGGTGGTTTTTTTTTTTTTTTTTTCCCAGCCGAATTTTTTTTTTTTTGTTTTTAAATTGATCGAGCATACATTCCATCCGATAACAACGACAACCATGGAGAGATGCTCCGTATCGGATGGAATGTATGATCGATCAATTAAAAAAAAAAAACACACCGAAATGAATGCTCCTCCTCAAGTTTACGAAACGAGCGGCTCTCCGTTCTCCGTTCGGTTTCCATCGCTGCCAGACGATCTTTCCCTAATTAGTAATGCCTAATTAGGCATAATGTCTGTGACATCCAATCAAAATCAATTACCATTTAGTTATTATTATTATTATCGTTAAGAATCACTAATAATCAGCACTCACATGCATTCCATCCCACACACAACATCGATAATGACTGAGAGAGGTTAAAATCTTCCTCAAAGTTGCAAAATGAGTGCGCCTCCTCCGACCAGTTCCCGAATTAGTCCTTAATTAGTCCTTAATTAGTCCTTAATCAGTCCTTAATCAGTCAATCAGTCCTTAATTAGTCCCTAATTAGAGAAGACTAAAAAAAGTTAAGTCTGCCACATCCAATCAATAAAGCGCGACCATCAACTTAACGCTGTGAAAAAAAAAGCCAATCAACAAAGTTAATTAGTCCTTTCTAGGGGGAGACTTTGCGTCACGGCTTCCTTACACTAGTGCCACGTGTAACCTTGTCAGTGCTCCGTGAAAAAAAAAAAAAAAAAAAAAAAAGAGCACTTAATTCCACCTCCGACCAATCACTTAACGCCGCGTGTCAACGAAGCACTGAGTGGTAAACCGACTGCCCATCAATTGGATTCCGCGTGCATTGATGCCACGTGT